GAGCGGCCGGTCTGTATGTGGGATCCGAACCCTCGGCGGGAGCGCCGCCACACTCCCAAGTGGTGCAATGTAGCAGTGTGCCACCGGGCCGGCCCCAATAAAAGATTTTCTAAAATTTTGAAAGTTATTTACAGAAAAGTTGGAAATATAGGGAAAAACATTTTTCCCCTGAACCATTGGAGAGTAAGTGGCTGACCTGCTGTTCTCATCACTCCTGAATCCTTTGGTTTGTATTTCTTACAGAAACAATCTCTTGCATGACCACAGTATGACCATTAAAATCAGGATTATACCCTTTAATTCTTAGACATCATTCTGATTTTATCAAGCGTCACAATAATGTGTAAGAAAAGACCTATTTCAGAATTACCCATTCTTATATTTTTAAAATCTCCTTCAGTTCAGTCTTGTACAGCTCCTCAGTTTTTCATCATCTTTCATGACCTTGACATTTAAAATTTATAGGCCAGTTTTCTTTCTTTCTTTCTTTTTTCTTTAAAAGATGACCAGTAAGGGGATCTTAACCCTTGACTTGGTGTTGTCAGCACCACGCTCTCCTCAAGTGAGCTAACCAGCCATCCCTACATAGGATCCGAACCCATGGCCTTGGTGTTATCAGCACTGCACTCTCTCGAGTGAGCCATGGGCTGGCCCTAGGCCAGTTATTTTCTAGAATGGCCTGATTGGGTTTGTCCAGTGTGTTCTTATGACTAGAGTCAAGTAATACATTTTTGATAGGAATATCACAAAAGTGATGCTGTGTTCTTATTCTGTCCTGTCAGGCTTTGGCTGAGCACTATATTTTTCGTGGTTTGGGACACTTATTTTCTTAGGCTGTAGAGGGCTTACTAGATGCTATAAGTGGTGCTGCCCTCAGTCTATTCCATTATTGATGATGCTTTCTTTGATCACTTGATTATGCTTGTGTCTATGAAGTTTTTTGCTCTCAAGTGAAACATTCCTCCCCTGTGCCTGCCTTGCACAGCCCAATCTAATGGCATTGAGACTGAATAGCTTAGGAAGAGGGAATGGAAGAGAGGCCCCCTTCCATATTTTGATGAACAAAGAAAAATAAACGGAGTACATATACTAATAGACCTCTATTTAGTACATGTGCCAATGAAAAACCTTAAAATGTTTTGCTTATCTCTTTGTTTGTTTTCCTTCTCTAAAACAGCAAGCTTGGGCAACAGATGATGTAGCTCAGATTTACGATAAGTGCATTACAGAACTGGAGCAGCACCTACATGCCATCCCACCGACTTTGGCCATGAACCCTCAAGCTCAGGCTCTTCGAAGTCTCTTGGAGGTTGTTGTATTATCTCGAAACTCTCGGGATGCCATAGCTGCTCTTGGATTGCTCCAGAAGGTTGGTTGTTAAGCTGTTACTTTTAGAAGAAGTAAGGTTTGTAAACATCTAGTGACCTACCTACACAATCATCTACATACTTAATTACTCTTAAGATTTAAAAAACTAATATATATCAAGTTCTATTATATAAGTAGGTGATTTTCCAGAGTAGAATATAGTCATGGCAGTTTCAAATGATAAAATGGGAAATCTTTATATTTCCAGAAAACCTTTCCTTAAGGAAAAATAATTATTGAAGAAACTTTAAAAGATAGTCCTTTAGATTTTGAGGGACAGATTGACCCAAATGTTTGGGTAATGGGTCAAGGTAGGTGGGGAAGCCTTGGATTTTGACTATGTAGGGACAGCAGAACCTTTTATGACAATGAAGAACACAGAATGAACCTAATCTAGATTAAATTTGGTGTGTGTATCAGGCAACTGAATAGGATATTTGTAGAGTGGAGAGAACAGCTATGAGGGTTTAGAAGGTATGTCGTAGTTTGCATTGAGGCTTGGTTTCTGGCTTTGATAGTTGGGCTATTTTCCATGGTTCCGAACACTTTTTCTTCCATAGGCTGTAGAGGGCTTATTAGATGCTACAAGTGGTGCTGATGCTGACTTACTGCTGCGATACAGGGAGTGCCACCTCTTGGTCCTAAAAGCTTTGCAGGATGGCCGGGCATATGGGTCTCCATGGTGCAACAAACAGATTACAAGGTCAGTAGCCATCTTAGAAGAGTAGTAATTATTATACTGCTTTTTGACATATGTGGCCCTGTCCCTTTTTTCTAGAAGGTAAATGAGACATTTGGACTTAACTGATTCTAAGAAGTGAGAATTGTTAAATGGGTTGTCCTTTTTCCATCTGGTCTTCACCTACCCATGATGGATATAGATAACCAATACCTTGTTTTGGGGAATAAATTGTAGGTCATTGTTTTAAAAGGTTCCAATGATTTCACAGCAGTGGCATTCATATATAGGTATTTTAAAGTCTTAAATAGAAAAATCCTCTCTTTGGTAAGCTTGGAAGCAAAGACTAGGCTGTCTTAACACTGGATTGGGCTTAACCCAGGGGTATCTATCCTGCTTCAGTACTGTTTTGAAATTTCAGTAACCTGTTTCGAAATTTGGGAACTGATTTGCAGTTGACTCTCAAGACATTGTTAATTTGGAGCAAATTTCCGTTGAATGAAATATATTCTTTATTTTACCTGAGAGAGTATGGTTAAGCCTATATGAATAAAGGAATACTGACTTTTTCTAGGTGCCTAATTGAATGTCGGGATGAATATAAATATAACGTGGAGGCTGTGGAGTTGCTGATTCGCAATCATTTGGTTAATATGCAGCAGTACGATCTTCACCTGGCTCAGGTATGGAAAGAATTTACTTGAACAGACAGAGTGACTCAGAAAGTGTGTTTGCTCTAAGTGCTTTCTCTTACATTGTATCTTCTGTGTTGCCAGTCAATGGAGAATGGTTTAAACTACATGGCTGTGGCATTTGCTATGCAATTGGTAAAAATCCTGCTGGTGGATGAAAGAAGTGTTGCCCATGTTACTGAGGCAGATCTGTTCCACACCATTGAAACCCTCATGAGGATTAATGCTCATTCCAGAGGCAACGCTCCAGAAGGGTGAGGATGAAATGTGCTAGGATCCGTGTGCATTCAGCAGTTTCCTAAGAAAGAGCTTTAGAAATGAGTGTGCAGACTTACTAACATTACTTGTAACTGCTTTACCTACAGCATATGTGAAGCTTTAGTTAAGCTTGATATACTGTCCCTTGAAGTATGAAAGCTTACTAACTGCCAAGCTTTCTTGGTGTAGAGCAGTAC